GCAATCAATAAACTACAAGTGCCAATGACGCGTTTTGCCTCGCCTGTTTTCTGTTTGTTTGTTTATTACGTGCGTTTGAAAGATGTCTTTGGCCGTTGTGAAGTGTCTCGTTGTTTATCACGTCTTGTACCCCAATCATATAGGACATGTAAATTGAAATTCAACTCTCAAAGACACTGCGTTCTTTCGCAATCCGCTGCTCCGTTTCTGAACGCAGGAACGCGTCCTGTGTTAATGGTCCCTAACAAAGAAAAAAAATATGGCCAGTGTCAAGGTAATTCAAGCCATATGAGTCGAGAGCTTCGCTGCAATGAAACGTTCACAGTTCTATCTCTGCAAACGATACAATGGCTGTGTGTCTAAACCTAGCTGGCTGCGTCCCTGCCCTAACCACCCCCATCTGGCCTACGATACCCAAAAATGCTGTCTAAGCAGGCAGCTCACTAGGTTTTGACATACAGCCATTGTGTAGAAATGGAAAGCACGGGGAATCAATCAGAGTCTTTGCGTTGTTGCTCTCTGGGAGAAGCCTCAAGACGAAGATTGCCTATGTGGACTTAAAGAAAGAGGGGGAAAGTGTGCAGAAAGTTTTTGAATGGTCAAGACTGCAAATGGGGTTACATATTAACACTTTTTATTATGGTAGCCACACGTTTTTATGTATTTTAACACCATACAGTAAGTGTATTTTAGGTCAAAGCAGTGGAAGCCTAACAAAACAGGGAAATGGTTTCCATCATAAATGCACAGCTTAAGTAAATAATGCACAGAGGGCGGGCTGTCATGGCCTGATATGCAGGTATTTCAGGTACTGGATAATTGTCTGAGAGCAACAAGGTTTGAATAGACACAGTTTACAAAGTCCATTGATAGTGCTCTGACAGTCTTGGAGGGAGGAAGGAAAAGCACTAACTTTTAGATTTTTTTTTAGAGGTAAATGATCAGTATTGAAACAGGTGCATATAACTGATTTAGTCCTAATGTGCATTGCTTAACTATAAAAGACAAAAAGAAGAGCTATTAACACTCCAAAACTAAAGCAATAATTTCTAAATACTGAAATAAGTACAGATCGTCATAGCATTTTTTCAGCTTCATGCATTACATTTTTCAGTTGAATTATGACAGACATTGAGCAAAAAACATCACTGTAAGCTCTCCAGATCAGTGTATTTGTTTCTTTAAAGTTTCAATACATGAGTGGTTTTCTAAAGAACTAGAGAATAAAACTTCTTTGTGAGACTTAAACAGGTTCTCCTATGACATCGGTGTAAAACCATTTTGGTTTTAACTCAAATGTGTTTACTATACTAGTAAAACCCCCACCTGTATAATTCTTTTATATAAGTATCTGTCTGTCTGTACTCTCTTGATTCTGCAGTATTCTGACCTTGAGAAGGCCATTAACACCTTGGTCACAAACTTCCATGGTGCTTCTCCTGATAATCGGCCTACGCTGAAGGTAGATGAGTTCAAGAATCTCCTCTCCTCCCAGCTGCCAACTTTAGTCAAGGTAAAACTCCTGCTATTTGTTCCAACAGATACCAATGACTCAAAACTGTTATTACTCACTTAGTCACTTCCTGTGATTGTACTAGTGTAGTTATAGTGTAACAGTTCTTAATAATTTCAAAAGGAAAAAATGTGAAAATGCTACAGCGAAACCAGTTAAGTGATTACATTATGTTAACAATGATATTAGGCCTATAAATGTTTTTGTGTTGTTTTAAGGCCTGTGGTGTTGTGTAGGAAACACAGTGCACTGTCTTTGTTATTATTGGCTCCATGTGCTGGAAAGACTAGTTTTGTTGAACTTTTAAGCCAGCATGCAGGTTTTAATTATTATTATCTGTTTGTTTAACTTATTTTGGTTGCAAAAATAGGTTTTTATGTCATATACATACAGGTGTACAATATATATCATCCCCAAATGTCTGTAATGTTGTCATCATATTTGTTACAGAAAAGTTTTGGCAACCACAACTGCCTTTTTTTAACCATAATTGAACTTTTTTCAGTCTGAGGGACTGGTTGGTTTCACAGAGAATGTTTCCCAGAGTTTGTTGCCTTACATAGAGGCGTGGTCTGATTACACAGATCAGTTTGAACTCAGGTTGAGCCAGCTAAGGACACTGGGTGTGGCTCTGTTGAGAGAGCAAAATGGTGGCTGCCGTTGATCTGAAAGATAAATAATTTCTCCTGCAGTCAAACTGACGCTGCTCTTCAGTTACATTCGGTATCAGATCATGTTATGGCAGGCCTTCTACAGCTTAAGGGAGAACTTCTGACATAGTAGATTTTGTGTTTCTTTTAGCTGAATGAAGAGCTAATGCTCTGAGGTATATGGCACTGTAACAGTTGAACAATACTTGAGTGATCACGTACTTCAGTGCTGATGTAATTCTGCTCACAGTTCATGTTGTGACGTGTTTGTAACAGAAGAGTGAGAAACGGTACAGACTGTAGTGATTTGGAGAAAAAGTATCGTAGCAGAGAATTAATATAAATCTTGTATATGATTATGGAAGTGTTGCCAAGTTTAATAATTTGATTATTTTTAAAGATTCCAACTGAAGGCTTGAATATGTTAGCATTTGTTGTACTCACTGTATTTGAATTTGCAGAGTAACTGTTAAAGCTGTTAAAAATCTTTCCAAAAAGTAAAAACACTCCTAAGAATATGTATTACGAAGCCATACAGACAAACCACATGAGGGCGACAAAGTGCCAGTTTTCAAAAGCAAGAGTAAAAAAAAAAAAAAAACTAAAATGGATACATGAACACTCGTGAGTTTGAACACTCTCTCTCTCTCTCTCTCTCTCTCTCTCTCTCTCTCTCTCTCTCTCTCTAGTCGGATCATTTTGGAGAAGTGCTGAAGCAAATGGGTGTGAAAGATGGGGAAGGCATCAGTTTCAAGCACTTCTGGAGCCTGATCCAGAATTTGGCCACAACCCAGCATGGTCTGCTGAGCCACGAGAAGTTGTCCAAATGCACCTGCCTTTTACTATGAGCCGTGGGCTTCAACTGCATCTGCCACTAAGACCTGGTCTCTCTGCATCTCTGCATTTATCCAGAACCACTCATCTCCAAACAAAACACTAACTTTCCTTCCTAAGCATTCCAATATATAAACACAATTTGTACATCAAGATGTCTTTATATACAGTTTTTGTTTTTTTATTATGCCTCAAGCAGTACATCCATCATCTCTCCTCATATCAAGTATCAGGTCAATCTTAATGTACAGACCAGTTAACCACTTCATATACCATAATTGAGCTGGAGTCCAATTCGTTTTTCACTTGCAACTGGATTTACAGCTTCCCATAAGTGCATTTAACAAGTGTTTCTAATATAAATAAAATCTTTCCTTTTTTGTGATAACACTACATTTAAACCTACTGCCATAATAGTCTAAATTATGTGTATTTCAAGACTTAGATATGTACTGAGTGGTTTATGCAAACAAAAACAATAATAAAAAATTTTATTTATATTTTGTAATACTGTTTTTTATGGCCAAAAATCAATAACACCCTGAATTATTGTCTAATAAAATTCATATCAAAAACGTCGCTTGTTGATTTTTTTTTATCAAAATGTATAATTCTCAATGTTTAAATAACCTTATTTAGAATCAACTGTAATTTTATTTAGAATCAGCTGTCATTGTGCAACAGAAATGTTACTAAATCTGCCAGTGTAAAGAGTGAGGTAATTTCTGACAAAATAATAATGAACAAAACTCGGTAGCAACAGAAATTATTATATCTTACTTAATTATTATATCTATTACTATATTGTATTAGTCTTAGGTCTTAGAACTGTGTATAAAAGAATACGTTTTTTTGTTTTTTTTTACAGTGTAGGTTTTCATGAGAATTTTGCCTTCATCACAAAGATCTGATAACCACACAAACAACATACACCAAGTGTGAATGCATTTCCTATCCTCTTGCATTGCCCCTTGCATTCCACACTTGTCCATATAGACCTGAAAATTAGTATATAAAGACTGAAAATTAGTTAATTCATCATGACAAACCAGGTAACATCTGGTTTAGGCACTAGTGGAGGAGAGATCAAGGGAAGATCAAGGAGCTATTACTATAGGCACTGCTAAGTGGTTCTGAAATGGTTTAGTCAAATTAATTCAGTTGATGTCGAGTCTCTGCAGAAATGACAATAAAGGCCATAGCAGGCCTTCATTTTGGACTGGGCTGACCCATTTGAGGTTTTATCAAAAGTAAGTCAGAGAAGTGAAGGACCTCATCCTTTTTCATCTAACAACTCTTAAAAATAATGGTGCTTCAAAAGGTTCTTCAAGGGATGCCATAGAAGAACCATTTTTGGTTCCACAAAGAACCATTCAGTCAAAGGTTCTTTAAAGAACCATCTCTTTCTTACCTTTTTATAATCTGAAGAACCTTTTTTCACCACAAAGAACCTTTTGTCAAACAGAAAGGTTCTTCAGATGTTAAAGGTTCTTTATGGAACCATTTAGACAAAAAGGTTCTTCTATGGCATCGTGAAGCACCTTTATTTTTAAGAGTGTGGGTGACCACAGAGGCGTGAAACACTTAAGGGGAATTCTCAACCACATCACCAACAATTATATTTCCTGTCACCAAAGAGAGAGAGAGAGAGAGAGAGAGAGAAAAAAAAGGTAAATTTAGGCCACAATCACACAGCAACAGAATGCAGTTGTCAGTCCTGTATTTGAGTCCTTAATACGGTTATGTTCACACAGAATACGCTTATTGATGAGAATAACAATTGCATTCTATAAACAAATTCACACCTGTAATTCTTCAGGTGGATGAAGTATCTGAAATACAAACTTGAGTAAAAGTACAGATATCTCACCAGAAAATGACTTTGGTAGAAGTTAAAGTCACTGTATAGAATATTACTTGAGTAAAAGTTTTAAAGTATGTGATATTTACTGTACTTAAGTATGAAAAGTATTTTTTTAAATATTAAACATACTTAAGTATTGAAAGTAATAGTACAAGTAAATGCAAAATGGAAAGATTTTTAAGAGTGTGGGTGACCACAGAGGCGTGAAACACTTAAGGTGAATTCTCAACCACATCACCAACAATGATATTTCCTGTCACCAAAGAGAGAGAGAGAGAGAGAGAGAGAAAAAAAAGGTAAATTTAGGCCACAATCACACAGCAACAGAATGCAGTTGTCAGTCCTGTATTTGAGTCCTTAATACGGTTATGTTCACACAGAATACGCTTATTGATGAGAATAACAATTGCATTCTATAAACAAATTCACACCTGTAATTCTTCAGGTGTATGAAGTATCTGAAATACAAACTTGAGTAAAAGTACAGATATCTCACCAGAAAATGACTTTGGTAGAAGTTAAAGTCACTGTATAGAATATTACTTGAGTAAAAGTTTTAAAGTATGTGATATTTACTGTACTTAAGTATGAAAAGTATTTTTTTAAATATTAAACATACTTAAGTATTGAAAGTAATAGTACAAGTAAATGCAAAATGGAAAGGGAGCAAATCAATATAAAAAAAAATTTTTATACATATTTTGAGCAGCAAGATTGTGTTCAGTTTTAACTCTTTCTGTCATTTTGTATCTTTGGGTAAGCATAAAAAGCGTACCCATAAGAAGCTTACTTAGTCTCTTTTATTCCAACATGAGAAAACATTCCTGGAATTTGCATCTGAAGTGGCATTTAGATGTATTTACATTGTTTAATGTAGCTCAGAGGGGACATGGATGCATTTAACCTGCAGTTACAAATGCATAAATAATGCCTTGTTTTAAATATAAAATGTTGAAGACGGATATTTGAAATGATTTAAAACATTAAAAAATAGTTGAAATGTTAAATTAAAATTGCTAGTAGGTGGCAGCAAGTGACTATTAATGAGTGAGTCATTGAGAATGTGCTCTGGTTGTATTGCAATCAAAGGCATCATAGTAGGAGCCGTTTTTGTAGGCATTAAACTGCCATAATTTTAAAAGACAGTATCTCCGTATGCATTGAACTTTCAGCATCGTAACTTTGCAGATAGTTGTTTGAGTTTATGCTCAAACAGCAACATTACACACTAACTAAAGTTAAAAAAGTGAAATCACAGTCAACCATCCCTTTAATGAGTGAGTCACTGAATCATTCATTCTACCAACTGGTTCAAAAGCTGATTCATTCAATAAGGAAACACCGTCCTGTGTGTTCCTCAAAGACTGTCACTGAGTCTCAATGTGCCTACTTATACTACACCCTTAAAGTATGTAATCTTTTGGTGAAGAAAAAGTACACACTTTTGAGTGTGTAGTAGAAGAGTAGGCAAGCTTTGGGACATACTATCACGTCACACAACTGCGTCTTTAAATGAGCGCTCTGTCGCACCTGTTACACGCACCCTGTCACTGTAAACTGGTCTGTCAACCATCTTGTCACAGCTGACATCCTCCACATTTCATTTCATTTAACTTCCTACCCTACTGGAGAGCAAATTCTCAACCACATCACCAACAATGATATTTCCTGTCACCAAAGAGAGAGAGAGAGAGAGAGAGAGAAAAAAAAGGTAAATTTAGGCCACAATCACACAGCAACAGAATGCAGTTGTCAGTCCTGTATTTGAGTCCTTAATACGGTTATGTTCACACAGAATACGCTTATTGATGAGAATAACAATTGCATTCTATAAACAAATTCACACCTGTAATTCTTCAGGTGGATGAAGTATCTGAAATACAAACTTGAGTAAAAGTACAGATATCTCACCAGAAAATGACTTTGGTAGAAGTTAAAGTCACTGTATAGAATATTACTTGAGTAAAAGTTTTAAAGTATGTGATATTTACTGTACTTAAGTATGAAAAGTATTTTTTAAAATATTAAACATACTTAAGTATTGAAAGTAATAGTACAAGTAAATGCAAAATGGAAAGGGAGCAAATCAATATAAAAAAAAATTTTTATACATATTTTGAGCAGCAAGATTGTGTTCAGTTTTAACTCTTTCTGTCATTTTGTATCTTTGGGTAAGCATAAAAAGCGTACCCATAAGAAGCTTACTTAGTCTCTTTTATTCCAACATGAGAAAACATTCCTGGAATTTGCATCTGAAGTGGCATTTAGATGTATTTACATTGTTTAATGTAGCTCAGAGGGGACATGGATGCATTTAACCTGCAGTTACAAATGCATAAATAATGCCTTGTTTTAAATATAAAATGTTGAAGACGGATATTTGAAATGATTTAAAACATTAAAAAATAGTTGAAATGTTAAATTAAAATTGCTAGTAGGTGGCAGCAAGTGACTATTAATGAGTGAGTCATTGAGAATGTGCTCTGGTTGTATTGCAATCAAAGGCATCATAGTAGGAGCCGTTTTTGTAGGCATTAAACTGCCATAATTTTAAAAGACAGTATCTCCGTATGCATTGAACTTTCAGCATCGTAACTTTGCAGATAGTTGTTTGAGTTTATGCTCAAACAGCAACATTACACACTAACTAAAGTTAAAAAAGTGAAATCACAGTCAACCATCCCTTTAATGAGTGAGTCACTGAATCATTCATTCTACCAACTGGTTCAAAAGCTGATTCATTCAATAAGGAAACACCGTCCTGTGTGTTCCTCAAAGACTGTCACTGAGTCTCAATGTGCCTACTTATACTACACCCTTAAAGTATGTAATCTTTTGGTGAAGAAAAAGTACACACTTTTGAGTGTGTAGTAGAAGAGTAGGCAAGCTTTGGGACATACTATCACGTCACACAACTGCGTCTTTAAATGAGCGCTCTGTCGCACCTGTTACACGCACCCTGTCACTGTAAACTGGTCTGTCAACCATCTTGTCACAGCTGACATCCTCCACATTTCATTTCATTTAACTTCCTACCCTACTGGAGAGAAAAGAAGTAGCTCGTTGATCTGCCAGTCATGGGTCTTTCATGCAGAGAACTCTGCTCATATTTTCTGCATAATGAACCTGACCGTCGATCACGCGCATCCGCCACGTTTGTTTTTCTAACGCGTTTTATTCGTGTTTGTAGTTCTGGACCGAATCCTTCGCCCGTATGAACATTGAGACGCAGGGTGTGATCTGTGCTGTGATCTTTGTTTGGAACTATTTTAGTTGGCAAAATTGGGCAAAAACAGGCAACACTGTGTCTAAAATG